GGGATTAGAAAACTCCTTCAAATACAAAATACATGACTTTTGCAGTATTGCTAATAAATCACCAAGGGAAACAGAATCCAATCTGCAGTCAAGTAGAAGCCTCTGCTTGATTTCTTCTTGGGATCAAGATGTAGTGAATACCAGCAGGTATTCACTCTATCTACTGTAGCAGGTATATATAAAAATATATATACCTACTGGCATTATATATAAACATATATGTCTGCTGATATTATATATAAATATATATAAATATGTGTAACATATATTCTATATATAACATATTTATATAGAATAGTATATATTAGATATACATTTATATATATATTTTCTGAGTTACTAATTCAAAGGAGACAGTAATTTTATAACATGGCATGTAGGGTTTTATATGCCTTTGTGTAAAACTAAATGTTGTACCTCAATTTAATATCCATTAAAGTGTCCATTATCTCTTCTTTTCCTTGACAGTGCATTTTAGCAACATTTATGTACTTCTGTACTGTTTTAATGAATTTACGTGTAATTATATTTCTCATAAATATTCATAAGTCTTATCAGCACTATTCTGTCAGCCTACTTTTTTACCTTGATGTCAAATTTTTAAAAATAAATCTGGACTTGGTAAGCAGAGACTTGTGTTCAAATGGGTTATTTCAAGGAGTTAGGGAAAGAAGTATTACAGTAGGAAGAGTGCTTTGCCGATAAGCTCTGCAGGCATCTTGGGGGTTGCAGAGCTGTTCTTTTATAACCACGAGCAAAGAACGTTAGAAAGAACCGTATGCGGGGATGTGGGATGAAAGGATGGTGTGATCGGATAGCAGATCAGCGAATACTTTGCCCTAAGCCCAGCCTGTTTTCAGGAGGGACTGTATGCTGGCTCTGGTTTAGGATAGGCCAAAGTTCAGGGGCCTAGAGGAAGGAGAAAAGTTCAGCCAGTTGGGTTAACAAGCATTTTGTTCTGGTTGATCAGTGGGGGTGGGCAGCTCAGCTAATCATTTATAAGACAAAGAAAGGGAAATTTGGAGGGTCTGTGTCTGGCCTTGTTGTAGGTAAATGGGGGCATCCATGAGTCTTATCTAAGTCATACAGGGAAGGGTAGTGGATCTCTGCGGTAAACTTTATGAAACACAAAAGGTGGGGGATTTCTTAACCTTCACTGTAATCTAGGATGGCAGGGTTCAAATAAAATTCGGCATTGCTGATAAGGACCACTATGTCAATTAGGATTGTTTTTAGCTACAAGTAATAGAAAATTGGACAATCAATGACAAACAGAGGCATGTTTATCTCACCTAATAAATAGGTGAGAGTTCTACCTGTTGGTAGAGTTGCTGTCATTGGTTTAGCAATCAGTGATGCCAGCAACCCTCTGAGTCTTTCTACTCGATTTCTCATGTTGATTGCCTCTTGGTCATAGGATAGTTGCGGCAGCTCCCACCATCATGTCCACATTTAAAACAGGGAGAAGTCACATGGCTACCTCTCCCTGCAGAGGAGGCCAGGGAAGTTGTTGGCTGTTTACATTGCCACAGGGGTTCTCTTAATAAAGAGAAGGAGTGTTTACCACATCAAGTCTTACGTTTCTTCTGGCAGTTGTATTCTGTACATGATACTGGCTAATTCTCTACTACGAACATAACCCTTTTACTATTTGAATTGTAGGAAACTAAATGTCTTATAACTGGAGCATTAGAAAAGTATCCAGTATATTTTAGTCTAGATAAGGAAATTGAGCCACTGTTAGAGGTGGTTTTCTGGAGGAGCTTCAGGAAAAGCCAAGAATCTCTTGAGTAAACTTCTTTGGAGTCATTTATTCAAATGTTAGTAAGCTTGGAAAAATAAAGCCGATGTTGCAAAGGATTTATATCTCTAATTTTAAAGAGATCTTACACATCAGATCTTATTATAGTAGCAATAAAAGCTTTGCCAAATACGTTTTGCTTTTTCATATCAAATTGTTTGTATAATCAACGGCACCCAATGCTGGTGAGATGCTCCTTTGGAACTGGTGAGAGTACACACTTGGTACACGTATTCTGCAAGGTTTGTAAAAAGAGACCTAAAATGTTTATCAACTTAACCTAAAATTTATCCCTAAGAAAACATTTGTAGTAAAAAAAAAAAAAAAAAAAAGAATTATGGACCAAGTATTCTACACAAACATGAATATTCTGGACATTTTTTTTCATAAAAATATTTGGAAACAAATATCTTTTGGAGAATAATTGAGTTAGGTATGGAGTCTTCATAACCTCAGTATAATATTTAGTTAAAAATAAGAGTACAAACTATTTATACCATATGATTCCCATTTGATAACTTACAGATATATTTATTTACTTAAAGGAAATATGTCAAATATTATCAGTAGATATTTTTGGATTATGGGGTTGCATGTCACTTTTTAAAAATTCTTTTTGTCATTTTTATGATCTTTTTAATTATAAAAAACTCTATTTTTTAAAATATGAAGTAAAAATGAGTGTGGTTGTGAGATCCTTTTTAAAAAGAAATAATGGGTGAGAAAATGCTTTGCTTAGAGAATGTGGACCAGGCTGTCCAGCACTTGAACATTGTATTAATGAAGTAGGAAAGGTGTTGCCGTGTTATTGACCATTTGGTTCCTCTGGAGCTCTGGCATTGCTCAGTCCTGCCTCAAAGGGAATGTTTAAAGGAAGTTGTCACAATAGTTCATTCTTCTGTATTCACGCAAATCATGGTTGTTCTATTTTTCTCTTCCTCGAGAACTTTCTGTTCTTTTTTTCTGTGCCATGTAACAGGATGGAAGTCACTAAGGGTTGTAACTACATTTAGGAGAAGAAGGGAACCAGTTTAAGGGAACAGTGTGTCTTAATTTATGCAGATATCCAATGCTAACTTATTTAAAGGTTGAGGAGGTCATTATCTTAACACATAAGAATTATTTTTGCTTAGAATGTGTAGAAAACAAGGCCTCAATATTCTTGAATAATTGCTGGTTGTCTCCCTTCTAAAGCCTATTGATGAAAACAAGTGTGTATAAGTGTAAATGTGTGGGTATATATAAATCCTTACTAAGTTCTCTTGTGTGTGTGTGAGGGGAGAGGGCAAGAGAGGTAAGATGTTTATCTTCCTGACATTTCTCATTGGACCCTGAGGTCTGCCCTTCTACTGGGGCATCCATGGCATGACACATAAGGGGTTCAGATAGACTAGTTTGATATTTGCTGGTTGGAAATTCTTGGTATAAAATCACATGGTTTTAGAGCTGGAAGATTCTTATGGATTCCATTTCAATTTTACGTTCATTTTTTGCCAGGTACTTTCACATACATCTAAGATTCCTAAACCGGGATGTACTTATCCCTAGGTTATACCACCAGATGACCCTTAAAGCTTCAGGATCTCTAGAAAGATTCAGCATGTTTATTCCTTGACTTCCCCTTAGTCCATGGCACAGTGTTTAAGGAGAGGGCTTCATTCGTGCACGATTAACCAGTAACACGACCTTAGCACATGGACGCGAGAGTTCATCCAAAAGTTCATGTTTGTTCATTTGTTTATTTGCCTTTTTGTTGAAATTAATCTAACAGTCATTGCTTTAATTTTAATAATAGAGCCTTTAGGCAGAGCTGAGGGTCAGGAATTGTAAGTTGCCACCGTACAGAGAGTGAAATGTGTGCTGGGGCAACTCTAGGCCAGGACCCTCATGGACAAGCACATGGCTTACCAGGCAAACAAGGAACTCTCTTATCATTTGGAATCTAGAAAGGCCTTTTTCCAAATAAAAGGAACTTACATGATTTGAAGCAGATTTCTTTAGTTTTTAATTTTCAGTCTTTTATGCAGAATCAAAAAGAAGCAGTTGTTGAAAGATTCTGTCTTGGAATTGATAAAACAATGTGTTGGGTTTCACTATGCCACATGGCTATTTAAATTTAACCTCTCCCGAGAACTGTAGCTGCCTATGTGACACCCTTACTTGGATGCTTAATAAACGTCTTAACCTCAACTTGTTCAAAAGAGAACTCTTAATTACGCCCAAAGCCCACCAGTCACCTCTTCTCTAAGTTTTTTCTGTCTTAGAAGATGGCATTCCCATCTGCCCAACTTGGGTTATAAAAGTTATCCTCGATTCTTTGCTTTCCCTTTCCCCAGGATCTATCAACAATTCCTTTTTACTTTACCTTCAAAATGTATCCTTAAATCACTGACTCCTCGCCATCACTGTTGTTACCTCCTTGTTCAAATCACCATCATCTCTTATCTGAACTATTGCACTGGTCTTCTCACCCATCTCCTTGTTCTCTTATGATCTATTTTCTACCAAGCAGCAAGAATCACCTTTAAAAAATTAATTTGATTGGGTCATTCTTAAATTGAATTCTGAATCAAATCTGGTCATCCCTCTGTTTAAAGCCATCCATTAGTTTTCCATAGCAATGAGAATAAAATCTTTATCTCTTACCCTGGTTTCCAAAGTCCTTGGGGTCCAGCCCTGACAACCTCTGTAAACTCAGCTTCTGCCACTCTCTCTTTTATCCAGAGTTCTCCAGACCCCAGGTTCTTTAAAGATGCCAACCCATCAATCTGAGGACCTTCCTTCTACCAGGAACGGGCTTTTCCTATCTTCCTATGGCTGGCTTCTTCTAGCATTTGGAACAAGATGCTCTGACAAATGTTAACTCTCATAGAGGCCTTTCCTGATCACCTGATTACATAGATGTCCTCCCCATCCCTGCACTTGCAAGGCACCATTTATCACACAACTCTTCTTACCCTATTTAAATTACCTGGATGGCACTTATAGCTATCTCTAGCACTGCTGCCTACCTGAATTTAAGATCCCTGAGAGTAGGGCCTGCACCTGCTTTTTTACCATTGTGTCACCAAGACCACAGAGGAGGTCAGTGTTTGGTGTGGCATGAACTCCATCATCAGCTGCTTTTCATATGATGTGGAATCCAGCTTTCTCTCAACTTGGGAACCAATAGACATTTCTACCTGTTCTGCTTTTATAGAAGACTGGACTTTATGAATATAAAGTCTTTGGTGTTCTGGAGGACTGCTCACCAACTCTACTGGCAGACGTCTATATGGACTTAGACTACAGAAAACAATGGGACCAGTACGTTAAAGGTGAGTGATGCTTGCTTTTTTTTTTTTTTTTTTTTTTTGAGACACAGTTTCACTCTTGTAGCCCGGGTGAAGTGCAGTGGTGTAATCTCAGCCCACTGCAACCTCCCCTTCCCGGGTTCAAGCGATTCTCCTGCCTCAGCCTCCTGAGTAGCTGGGATTACAGGCATGTGCCACCACACTCAGCTAATTTTTGTATCTTTGTTATCTTTGGTTTCTCCATGTTGGTCAGGCTGGTCTTGAACTCCTGACCTCAGGTGATCTGCCTGTCTCGGCCTCCCAAAGAGCTGGGATTACAGGCATGAGCCACTGCACCCAGCACTTTTTTTTTTTCCCCAAATCATTAGAACGTAGATCTATTCTGACCAGGTGCAGTGACTCATGCTTGTAATCCCAGCACTTGGGGAGGCTGAGGCGGGCAGATAACTTGAGGCCAGGAATTTGAGACCAGCCTGGCCAGCATGGTGAAATCCTGTCTCTACTAAAAATACAAAACCTAGCTGGGCATGGTGGCGCATGCCTGTAGTCCCAGCTACTCAAGAGGCTGAGGCACTAAGAATTGCTTGAACCCAAGAGGCAGAGGTCGCAGTGAGCCAAGACTGCACTTCAGCATGGGCAACAGAGGGAGACCCTGTCTCAAAAAAAAAAAAAAAAAAAGGTATAATCTCTTTTTATTTATTCTTGCCAGTAGAAAAAAAATTAACTTCTACTACATAGTGCTTCCTATTAAATTTTGAAACAAAAGCATTTTAAATGTGGGACTGAAATGCACTTTTGCTATTGCTAGGACTTGCTCCTTACATAGTCTTAGACCCTCCCCACAGTTTGCTCTTGAGGCTCCTTTGCTGTCACTTTTAAGTTGTGTGATCCTCGCATGTGTCCACGTTGTCATGACAGGGGAGGAGGTGCGATCCAAGTTTTGGTTTGAGAGTTGAATCAAAATTTTCCAAACAGAGAAGAATACATGTATGTGAGGAGGTGAGAGAGTGATGGGATGACTGGTGAAGGGCATTCTAGGCCCAGGGATCAGCATTAGTAAAGTCAGGAAAGCATGAAGCACCAGCAGTTTGGTGGTGTTGGGTTGGTTGGAGTAAGAGAACCTATCCTAGGTCTTCAACTACTGTTAGTACTAGTTCTACTACTACTATTGCTAGTACTGTTGTACTAGTAGAATTAGCTAATAGAACTAGTACTAGTAGTAGTCGAAGAGCTAGGGTAGGTTCTTCTACTACTAGGTGAACTAGGGCAGCTGTTGGGTCCAGATCCTCCAGGGCCTAGCATGGTGACCAGGCTATGGGTCTTAGACTTTTCCCTGTAAGTGTTGCGTTATGAAAGACATCACACAGGGAATTCTCCTGCCACTTAGAGCTGGAGTAGCCTCTGCCAACCCGGTCATAGTGGAATGGAGCTATGGAACTAGCCAAAGGCACATAAAGCCTTTAGTCAAGACTCTTGGTGGCAAGTAACAGAAAGCCAACTAAAGACAGCGTAAGAAGAGAAAAATGAGTTTATTAGTTCATGGCACTGAAAAAAAGTCCAGGTGTTTCTAACTTTGAGGACAGCTGCAACAGGGAACTTAAATAATTTCATCAGGATCGTTTCTTTATCTCTAGACTCTGTTTTCTTCTGTGTTGACCTAATTCCTAGGCAGATTCTTATGTCATGGCCAAGATGTCCACCAGAAAATCCAGGTTTATATTGTAACCATACAAATAACCCCAGAGGAAAGAGAATTCTACTTTTCTAGGGATGGCAGCCAGATGCCAGGATTGGCTCTTGTCAGCTCAGCTTGGAGTTTGTGCTTATTTTCTGTGGACATTCATCATGGTTTTCGACAACTTAGCGTTCTCAAATACCCTTCCTATTTAGGGGGCAGTGGGATGCTTACCTATCCAAGGGAACAGCCAGACACTGTCTGTCCAGGCCTCCCTTGCAGCCAAGATATAGTCATGTGACATAGACTCTGCCAATAAGACCCACATGTGGCTTCAATTTGGAAAAGAGACACGCGAGGAAGCAGGCAGCATGGAAGATCCATTTTTCAGTGACCAGTGAAGGCATCTGACTTTAGGGCAAACAACTGCTGAGACTCTGATGTTTGCTCCCCAACATCAACAGCTTTTACTCTGGGTTCTGATCCAGTGGAAGCAGCAGTTAGGCTTTGCTGGAACAGTGCTGAGGTTGGGAATCTCACTCTGGTCCATCTAAGAGCTTTACTAAATCACGTTTTGCTCTCAACTTGCTAGAGTGACTAACTACGACTCTGGACAGATCTGCCATCCCTGAATTAGTCACCATGGCCATGTCTTGCTCATTTTCCCAGCCCTGAAATTACTGCAGAGTCAGTCTTGCTGAAACCATGCAGCTGAGAAGTAGGGGAAGGGTGATGCCCTGAAGGAAAACTGAGATGTTCAAGGGGGGATTAATGCTGAGCATGTAAAAGCAACAGAGGTCCACTTCTCCCTTTCCTTTAAGGACTCTCATCAGCCTCCTGTGACCATAATGGGCTGGCACGCTCCTTAATCTGCAGTGTGCTTCTAATAGATTTTTTTTCAAAAGCTAAATTTTCCCTCCTTAGCATCTCCTCCAAGGACTTTGGGCTCCTTCTGTAACTGGAGGTGGAAAGAAGTTTACTGCACAGCACAGTCTGGGGACAGAGGGTGTGCATGCCATTAAATTTCTTTGCTATCTCACTCCAAGAGTTGGCTGCTGTTTGCACATAATAGTAAGATGAAAGGATTATTAGGGAAATTTGGTCACCCTAGCTGTGGCATAGTGCAAAGAAACATGGGAGAGAAGAAAGAAACTTGGGGTAAGCCACAGTTCTGCTGATCTCTAACTATTTAAGAAGGACATTGCTCATTCTGGAACCTTCATTTCCGACCTATGAATGTGTTAGACTGGGTGACTCAGTTCCAGGTTAGCTGTAATGGGTCAAGGAATCCTAAAGGGGAATTAAAGGGCTCAGAAGCAAAACTATTGGTACTCTAGTGACATCTGGTGGTTATCCTGAATTTTAAACCTCTGACTATTTTTTTGATGTCTGATTTTATTTCATTGCATTCTATCAAGAATATTATTTGTGCTATAGAATGGACAAGATTTGTTGGCTTCTTAGGCAATAAGTTTTCAGTGCAAATTAATCGGTTTGACTTATTTCTAGAATTTTATACCTTATGAGTTAGTGGTTTATCATACCCTAAGAGGTTATCTTTTTTTTTTTTTTTTCTTGAGACATGGTGTCATTCTGTCACCCAGGCTGGAGTGCAGTGGTGCAATCATGGCTTGGCTCACTGCAACTTTGACCTCCTAGGCTTGGATGATCCTCCTACCTCAGCCTCTAGAGTAGCTGGGACTACAGACATGCACCACCATGCCTGACTGATTTTTTTGCTTTTTTTTTTTTTTGTTTTAGACAGAGATGGGGTTTCACCATATTGCCCAGGCTGGTCTTGAACTCCTGGACTTAAGCAATCCACTTACCTTGGCCTCAAAAAGTGCTGGGATTACAGGCATGAGCCACTGTGCTTGGCCTAAGAGGTCATCTTATTAGTTGTAGCTAAAACGGCTTCGAGATGCATTAACTTCTTTTGCTCTCCTTTAGAACGCTATGAACAAGAATGCAATGGACAGACTGTGGTCTACTGGGAAGTGAAGTACCCTTTTCCCATGTCCAACAGAGACGTATCCTTTCCACGAGGTACTCATTCCCTGGCCTGCTAAGTGTTTCTGTGTTCCTCAGCTGCAGTCTGTTGCAGAGAGGTAGAGCTGGTTTCTCAGCAGGCACAGATAATATTGTCTCTGATTCTTGCAGCAGCATCTGCTAAAGATGTTGCTTCTTGTGTGGTGTTTGGAGAGCTCAGAGTGTGATTTCTGGGCCCGACCACATGGAGTGTCTGTAATTATGGTCACTGGCGAGCAGCTCTTACTTTCCTAAGAAGTTTCCTAGGCCTTGAAATTGTCAGGCCACAAAATTGGGGACCTGGAAGGAACTTTTTAGAAAGAGTGCTTGATACAGCTCCCTCAGTCTACAGGGAAAAAAAGGGCTCCCAGGGGCACATAGGTGGTTAGTGGCAGAGTGGGTGCTGGAACTCAGGCCCCTGCATTTCCAGCTCTCTCCGCCTCCCCCATCTCAGTAGACCCCACAGCAATCCCTCCTTGATTGCTGGCTCTAGACACTGACTGTAAGCTTCTTCCTCTCAATGTCCTTGTTTATGAAATGAAGCAGTTGGATGAAATGTAGGGAGGCTTGGCTGGCACTGTAAGGTTTTCAGAAGCCCCCTTAGGACTAAGCTGGGGGGCTAGGATGGAATTTTGGAGGTGGGTAGGATGGAGGTAGGATGACTCCTAGGTAAGATTTTGTCTCCTTCACCATCCTCTTCAATCCCAGCAGCGAGGTGTTTTACAGATTCAATTTCCATATAAGATCCTTTTAGCAAAGGGTCTTGTGGAGTCAAAAAAAAGTTTGGAAGCCGCTGAATTAGATAAATTGCCAACCCTTCAAAGGTGTTCTGCCAAATTTGAATCACTATATCAAGGTAATTCTTCCTCCGTGGAGTATCAGATGATATCTATCACATGAGCTGAGAAAGTTGGGGGAGAGAGTGGAACAATATTTGCTAAAAGGAAAAACTAAAAGGTGTAGGAGAAAGGAACCCAGAGACAAATCAACATCTTCTCTTTCCTGAAACATTTAAGAACTTTACTCACCAGTACATAAGAGCATGGAGAGAGAGACTGTCCAGTGTGAGGGTGGGGCAACAGGGGGCGCTGTCAAGACACTGAGGTGGGGCTGAACGCGGTGACTCACGCCTGTAATCCCAACACTTTGGGAGTCCAAAGTGGGCAGATCACTTGATGTCAGAGTTCGAGATCAGCCTGGCCAACATGGAGAAACCCCGTCTCTATTAAAAATACAAAAAAAAAAAAATTAGCTGGATGTGGTGGGCGCCTGCAATCCCAGCTATTCCGGAGGCTGAGGTGGGAGGATCACTTGAACCCAGGAGGTGGAGGTTGCAGTGAACCAAGATCGCGACACCCCACTCCGGTCTGGGTGAGACTCTATCTCAAAAAAAAAAAAAAAAGACACTGAGGTGGGTGGGGGCTGAAACGGCTGCTGTGTTATAGTAAGTGTCATTGTGTTGTGCGTAGTGACTTTTTGATTCTTTTAGGTTTTTGATTCCTTTGAGTGTGAAACCCAAAATTCTGTTGTATGAAAGTGTAACTAACAAACTAAATATCTGAGCCTCATCCAGCTATGAAATTCTATGTAGGTTTTGGAGCCAGATCCGGGATAAAAATTCAGGTTTCATCACTTCGGCTGGAATGTGGGATTTTTGGCAAGGTTCTTTTCCTCTCCGAGCCTCACTTTTGTCATCTGTAGTATGGGGATACTCATACAAACTCACAGGGTCTTTGTACGGATCGAAATTTAAGCTTTATGTCAAGTGCATGATGTTACATGATAAGGGCTCGATAAGTAGTGATTCCTGTGGCGTCATAGACTTTCGTTATCCTCCCTAGAATAGTGCCGTAAACTTAAGGGTTCTTCTGTCAAGGCTGATGGACATGAAATGGCTTTGTTATTCTTGGTGAACTAGTGTTAGCCCAGAGAGGGCATCTGCCTATGAAATATTCAGGTGGTCCCATGTCTTCCTGTGGTCATCAGTTGTAACATTGCTTGATCATTTACTATGCATAGAGGTCAGTAATTAGAGCATTGGGTGGGGCCAGAACAAAAAGGAATGACACCATTTTCTGTCGAGTGCTTATTCTGCCCAGGTCTTTCTCTAGTGGCCTCACCAAGCCTGTCTGGAAGGCAGTGTTACTCCCTTTCCTACACAGGGAATCTGAGTCTCAGCAAGGCTGAGTAGCTTACCTAGGACCACACAGCTGCTAAGTGACCATTCCTCTGTCATCTCCTAGTGCCTTCTTGGAGAAAAGAAAAGTGGTTTCCTCACATAATTAAAACCACTCACAGGTAAGTAATGCATGCTCTTAGGTGAGAACACTAGGTGGTGTGAGGCATAGTCTTGCAGTGCAGGTAGGGAGACAGGGCAGGTAAGTGAACTAGCAGCAGAAGGGAGCAAATGCCAAGTGGGAGGCACAGAATTACCTCCCTTTGCTTCCAGCTTGTGGCGCTTTCCTTCTGTCTGTCTACAATGCTGGCGTTGGTGTCTTGCCTTGACTGGCCATGCAGTATGTCTACCTCCGGCAGCGGCGAGACCTGGACATGGAAGGGCGGAAGATCCACGTGGTCCTGGCCCAGAGCACCTCCGTGCCTCAGCTTGTCGAGAGGTCTGGGGTGATCCGGGTGAAGCAATACAAGCAGAGCCTGGCGATCGAGAGTGACGGCAAGAAGGGGAGCAAAGGTAAAACCCATGGTGCCTGTCAGTGCACCCAGCCAGGGGTCCCCACTGGAGGGCCAGGCTGATGGAGGGGCATGTCGAGTACATGAAGCATATCCTTGAAGGTCAGAGGACAGGCACAGGTGCAGAGCAGACCAGGATCGGCACCTAGAGAGAGCCTCATTCCACCCCAACAAACTTGAGTAGAGTATGAAGTTGATGTTTAACTCTGACCCAGTCTATTTTCTCCAGACTCATGGATTGTCAGGATGAAACCAGACCATTATAAGTAAGCCAGAGAGTTTAGAAATTCACTTCCAGCTGGTCCTGTAGATACATACACTGGGCCTAAGGGTAGGCAAGAAAGCTGTCAGGTTTGTCTTGGAGATCTCAGCTCCAGCTCAGTACAAACTCAGAGACTCAAGACCTGCCCAGGTTGAGTTCCAGCCCCCAGGGAGGAAAGCTGCAGACAGAGAGTGGGGCGCGAGGCCACCAGCTCTGCCAGAATGAGTGTGGCCTTGCATCCTAGGCAAAAATCTGAACCATAGCTAGATGGTCACCTTGAATATGTCACCTAATTTTCATGAGTATCTGTTTCATCATTTGTAAAATGGGATTAATTTGACCATCTCCTTAGGATTGCTAGAATAATTGAATGAGAGGCTATATTCAAGTGTCCAGCACTTGCCAGGTATTTAATAAATAGCAGCAAAATGTGTCTGTGGCTGTGTTTTCAAAAGTGCCTATATTTAAGTATGCGTAAGCAAAGTCAGTGGAGAGAAGTCCATCTGAAATATATGCCACCTCCCTCTGCAGTTTCTGAGCTTGAATATGAAGATATAAAGTTTGCACAGTTTTGTTGCTGTATTTTTTCTGGTATTTTTGCTTTTTCTGAATTGTCCTTTCTTTCCCTCTCTAGTTTTCATGTATTACTTCGATAACCCGGGTGGCCAAATTCCGTCCTGGCTCATTAACTGGGCTGCCAAGGTGAGATCCCAGGAGGCGGGGCAGGCGGGAGGGATGGGGGAGTGTGTTTGACAAATGTTGACTTAGCCCTTGGGGCTGTCAGGCTGAAGAGACACATTGTCTCAGGCGTAATGAGGCTCTTTATGAAGAGTTTGGTTGAGTGACTCTGGTTAGGGCTGGGGGTTGCCAACATCCAAGACGGAGGCTGGGACAAAAGACAAAGAATTGTCAGCTTGGAATGCCAGCTTCTCCCTGCTTGTGCCCCAAGACCCCGCCAGCATCACTCTCTGGAACCTCTGGACAATAGTCTGCTCCTGGTAGGAGCAATAGTGCCTTTGGAGCCTATATTCCTCAGCTTATTGGGGAATAAGACAGACTGACCTGGCTTGGAGACAACCAGATGTGTCCAAGCCTGAGGGAAGCTTCCACTTTTGTTGTTTTTGCCTTTTTTTTTGTTTTGTTTTTCTATAAGGGAGGGAACTGCAGTGGTAGTTTGTATCACTAGAGACCGCCCAGGAGCCTGGCATTATGGGGACCACCAGCCTGCTTTGCATGAGATCTACTACTTGAGAGGTCAACAGATTCCTTGGAAGAGTGAAAAAGCACATCAACTTTGGAGTCAAACAGATGCAATTTTGAATCCTGGCTCTGCTACTGACTGTCTTGTTGTATTTAAGGAAGCCATGCATTTCTTCCTTTTTACAAAAGAAGATAGATGTCTTCTACTGCATAGAAGGGGAGTAAATAAGACAATATTCAGGAGAAGTCTTGCCCAATGCTCAACATGAACTAAATAATCATATATCCTACTCCTTGATCCCCAATCCTTACCATTTTCTAATTCAGTAAGGCAAGTCCTTCCTCTCATTTCTTTGGAAGAATGTAACAATCCAGCCCAACCCCATTTCTTGTGTTTTCTTTTTTCAAGAAACACTGTTTCAGAAACATCTTTGCTTTTTCCTAGAGAAAGCTAACATATAAGGCCTTTTTGCAACAGAAGTTCCTGTTGACTGGTGTTCCTTTTGTCCTGGGTCCTACTTTTTGTCATCATCTGCAACAACATTCTGTTGAAATCCAGTTACGGAGCCTATTCATTTTTGTTAGCCCTAAAGCCAACATTGTTTACCTTCTGCCACATCCCAAAGAATCAAGAGTAACCACTGTGAAGACACAGAAATGACAGTCTCATTTCCTTTGCAGAATGGAGTTCCTAACTTCTTGAAAGACATGGCAAGAGCCTGTCAGAACTACCTCAAGAACACCTAAGAAAGAGAATTGGGAACATTGCATCCATGGGATGATGTCTCTGGAAGTGCCACCACCCACCGCTGCTCAGCCTTCCCCTGCTGTTTCCATCTTCGGAGGCCTACACACTCTACCACGTCCCTTCTAAGCATGTTCGCCTGACATCCAGCTCACTCGCCTGCTTCCTTTCTCACTCCCCACATCTTGGGGTGGGCTGCCTTCTTCTGCAATTCAATATGGGGCAGACTAGGGAAACCTTTGCTTGCTTACTATTAGGAGGGGAAGTCTTCAGTAGGGAACACAGTCATTCCATTGTGCAATTTTATGGGGATGGGTAGGCAGAGGGACACAACACAATTTAAGAATGACTGTTTGGGCAGGCTGGTTCTTTTGCAGCTTGTGATTTGTTCCAACTTGGGAGGGGCTGCTGGAAGTGGCATTCTGTTCAGAGCTGACTTTCGGTGCACCCAAACTGGACGACATGTGCCAGTGGCCATTTGCCTTATGCCCTGTGGAGCTGATTAGGCTGGGATTTGAGGTGATAATCCAGTAAGTCGTTCCTCATTCCTACTTGTGGAGGATCAGTAGCTATTATGATGCCAGACCATTTGGAGAAGTATCACAGGTCTGAGGGGGACACATAATATGACAACCACATTTTTTGTCGTCATCCATGTCTGTTTTTTTTCTCTTTTCCATATGTCACTGGGGAAGGGCTGCCTGTACCTCTCAAGCTTTGGATTTTACTGGAAACTGAGGCATCAAGATGGCTGTGGCAGCTAGCAAAAGCAAAGATGCTTTGTGCATAGCCTTGTGAAAAAGTGTCTTTCTATGCAATAAGATGAATTTTCCTTCCAGAGTATTTAGAAATGTAGAAGGGATAACAGTTCACAGCCAGGTAAAATTTAACTGGTGGCTTAAAGACTCTGCATCTTTTTCTCAGGAATTCTGCCTAAGTTATCTGCCTTTTCTACCACCAAAAAGACTTTTAGTTTTCTATGGTTTCTCCTGAATTTTGGTAGGGTAAGGTATTTCTGTAGTCAAAGGCACAGCCTTGATGATCTCAGGGAAAAATTTTAATCACTGTGTATAATGATACTAAACCTGATTAATAACAGAGAAATTCAGGATGTAAAGCCATAGAATGGGATTTACGAACGTAGGATACCTCAGACTGTTTGTTTTCTTTCTGGGAAGAAAAATGTGTTCTATAATGAATAAATATAGAGTGGTTTTTACTTGTCCTGTGTACCACTTCCTTCCTACCTTCTTCCTTTTGTGAGAATGCATCAGTTAGATCTCCTTTATCTACAAGTGATATTCAGCCTAATTTGTAGACTTGAACATAAAACGTAATTTTGGGCTTACTTATATGCAAGGTCAGGTGTAGGTAACCTCAGGTAGGGATCAATACAGGTGCTCAAACTGAGATGAGAATTCAGATCTTTTAGTATTGGTCTGCATTTGCTGGTAGCATTGTCGCTAACAGCAATAGGTAGGTTTGCGTCTTCCTAGGCTCATGACAAGCAAAACAAAAAAGACAATGTTTCTTTCTAGTAGGACCTGCACTATTCTGTAATTTAGAGCCCCTCTAAAACATTTGCTTATCTATGTCCTGCTCATTATGGTCATCTGGATAGAAGTATACAAGTAAGTGAATGCCTCATAAAATTATCATTAAAATATCATTATCAGTAATGTAGCTGGAATCTATTCTAGATAAACTCCATCTGAATGCCTCCTGTTAATAGAAGTCAAGTTGAAATCTTATGAATAGATTCTTTCAAATAAAAGCACTGAGATTATAGTCACTGAAACAGAACTGGCATGAAATGGTGTCATGTAAACCATTTCTTTAAATAACATTAAATAATTTGCTAAGAACTCTGAAAATACTAAGAATGCTGAGTTTCTAGGTAAGGTACTTATTTTAAAAGGTCACAGCATTTGCTGTAATGAATGGAGTTATGATTTTGTAGCATTTTTACTTGCTAATTTGGAGTAGTGGACAGTCCTCGCGAGCTGAGGTTATGTAGGAAACTGAAAACTCTTGAGCTACAGTAAGTGCCGAAGGTAAAAAAAAAAAAAAAAAAAAAAAGGATAACTGATGTTTTAGGCCTTTACTTAGAGGGGTTTGCACCTGAGTTCTCAGGGTATGTTTTTCTGCAGCAGCTGGATGTATCACTTGGAATTTGTAAGTTATGTTGTCTTTTCTCTAGGACTTTGTTCTGCTTATTTTCCCCATATCTGTCTTTCCAAGTAGACAATAAGCATTTGTAGATAGAAGCAGTTATTTCACTTTGACTACTGGTCCTTGGGGTAGTATATAGTAGGCACTCGAATGGTGACTCAATGAGTGAATGAATGATTTAGAGAAGATTGACCAAATGGCATGAACCTGGAAGACTAAATCCATTTGGATATAGAGGCTCAATCCCCATGGATTCAAGCCACATTTTTCCCCAAGTCAGCGTTTTGTCAGGTGCCGGGTCGGGGGGCGGTTTCTAGATTTCTCTGGTTCCCATTGGTCCTTCCTTGAAGGTACCAAGGTCCTCTCTCTGTTAAGTGGTGGGCTTTGCTGGTGTGGCTATGGGTTGTATTTTAATGTTACAGAAATGGCACAGTTTGAATTGAGTCCGGCTGAGATGAGTCAGGATTCCAGTTGAAATTGAATGGCAAAAGTAGCACTATTGTTGGTGCTAAATTTTTTCCACAGGCAAATTATTCACACTGCATAACAATTCCAAGTTAATGACCACCTTGGAACCGAGGAGTTCCAGCGGAGGGTCACTTCCCTTGAAAATGTTCCTATGTCACAGCGAGAGTCCTGGCCTGACTCCCTGGCTGAGATTCCTCACCCAGAATCCACATCTATAATGCCTGCCCTTCCAACCTCCCACTTCCTCGCTGGACTTGCAAGAGATGAGGCAGGAAGAGCCTCATTCAGTTCTCACATTTCTAGTAGCACCACCCAGTCAGCCCAGAGAATTATCTTTAAATGCATCGAGACATTTAGTTCTTTAACAGATATTTCTCAAGAGGCTGGAGTCCGTCGGCACTGGGATAGGCATGGCGTTTGTGGGATGAATGAGAAAGATATGGTGTCTGCCCCTAAGGCGTTTATGGTCTAATGGAAACTCAGTGAACAAGCTGCTGAAGGATGATAAGTGTTCAGAAAAGGAAAATAAAAGGTGCTGTTAAAAAAATGCACTAACCAAGTTTGAGGAGCAGAGGAGAACGTGTTGGAATTGTGGCTGGGTGAAGGTTGCAGAAGAAAGCTATTCATGACAGAAGAACCCTTTGCACAAAACCTCTAAGGAGGAAGGACTCAGCAGGAGAGTCAGTCACATCTGAAGAATGACAGTGAAGAGTGACTGGGGCGCTGACATGAAGGAGAGGCATCTTGGATGTGGCTGGAGAAGTAGACAGTTAGCCCATGGAGGGTCCTGAGAGCAACAACAAGGATTTTGGACTTTATCCCAAGAGTCCCAATAAGCTTTGAAAGATTTTAGATTGACGAGTGACCTGAAAATATGTATTATGCTTAACACCACTCATTTTTCTCCATGATTCCCCAGCATCTCTGACAGCCTCTCCGGTAGCATTGTGTGGGGCTACCCAAGGTGTTTTAAGCCCTATTACTTTGAATCCTCTCCATTGTCAGACAGCATGCAGAGTAGCCCATACTTAAATCGAGTTTCCAAAGTGGAACATCAGCTTCTGAAGTTTAACTGAAAAACAAAAGGCTGGAGGGAGGGGATCACGTATGCACATCCCCTCTGTCTCTCCTGGCCCATGTTGGGGTGCAGCATACCCTCCCACACATCTGCATCATGTAGCTTATCAGAGCACAGCCATTTAAGGGGCCAGAAGTGGGAGAGAAAAAAATGAAAGGCAAAAAAGTTTAAGCAGGTCCACTTTCCCCAAGTTCCTTTTTTAATATTCATCCTTAACTACAAGGAAGAACTTTTTTTTTTTTCCACTGGAGAAGACAGAAGCATAACATATTGTTTGTTTAGGTTGCAGAGTTTAGAACCAACAAAATGGGAGGACTTCAGAAAAATTATTTACATTGCTCATCTATCTATATATGTGTATACACGTCCAATGTGTGTCTCTTTGGATACACATCATAGATGCTGCATTTCATAAGATATAATAATGGAACAACAATTAAACAGTACGCTATGTAAGTGACTTTCTAAGTTTCCTGGGTGATATGCCAGGCCCATTGCCAGGCAGTGGAGTACATAAAGGTGGGATGCAATGACTTTAGAATTAGTAGACAACAGATCCTGTAGGACAATGAGTTGGCTACAAGCTCCTAAAGTATTACATTTTCCTTCCATCCGATGGTGGTCACATCCTTTCTGATTATTACAAACACTTGTGCACATATTCCATGTCCTCTGCAGACTGCTATAATTCCTGAATGGAAGAATCCGCCCCACATTCATGTAGTCCACTGCTTAGCATGGACCTGGCATAACATGTAGAAAACTTGGAGTCACTCAAGTAGCATACTGCTTAGTTGTTTTATTATTGTATCTTATGATTCCAAAGTCAGTGCATTTTAGTTGAGTGCACAGCCACCCAGCCACCCCTGCAGTAAAGTGCGGCCATGGGATTTAATTCTGGTCAATATATGAGCATAAATAATATGTGCCACTTCCAGCTTAGGATCTCAGAAGGGAAAGGTATGAACTCAGCTTGTTCTTACCCCCTTCACCCTGTCTGGGAAATGATAAGAACGGAAACAAATGCCTTGGAATCAAGGATGAAAGCCTAAGATTAAGGATGACAAAATAACCCTGCCTCCCTTGGACTGTTACAAGACAGACAAATAGACTTCTTTCTTATTTAAGCCACAGCATGTGAAAAAAAATAGCAGCTTTGCCTATACCAACTCATGAATAGCTCAAATAGAGTGTCCCTTTGGACCAGGAGATCAGGAACCAGCTCAAATGCCTCCTCATCTACAGACTTTGGATCTCCTGGCCTGTGCCAAACACTTAATAAGTGGTCAGCAAATCTCTCTGACTTGCTCCAGTTTCATTTAATGTGGTCCATAAGTGTTGGCTGTTATTAGCTGTTACTCCCAATTGTACCTCTCTATCTGCCTGCCACTCTCCTGCGCCACGCTTTGCCTCAGGCTACTCTTTTTGTCTGTGTAGAAATCTTCCCCAAGTTTTGTGAAATGTCTGTCAAAATTGAAGGCTTACTGTAAATCTATTCCCTCTAAGATATTCCTTGGATTTAGAAAAAACCTAATTTATCATGGTGCAGAATACATGAAATCCAGCACTTTCAGATTGGAGCAACCTCTATTAATCATCTTTGATAGACACTGTATTAGTCCAGGCTCTCCAGAGAAACAAAACCATCAGGATATACTGTGTCATGCACCACATCATGATGTTTCGGTCAACCACAGACTGCATTCCAATTCATACCACTAACTAAAAACAAATAAACAAAATCAACTAAAAACCTCAACGATATATATGGCAGTGGTCCCATAAGAATATAATCCTATATTTTTAATGCACCTTTTTGAGATACACTGATATATACCATTGTGTACTGAATACTGTAGGCAATTAAAACATGTTGTACAGGTTTGTAGCCTAGGAAAACAAACAGGTTACACCATATAGCCTATTTGTGTAGTAGTCTATACCATCTAGAGTTGTGTAAGTATATACTTTGATGTTTGCACGATGACCAAATCACCTGACACATTTCTCAGAATGTATTCCGTTGTTAAACAGCACCTGATTTTGTGTGTGTGTGTGTGTGTGTGTGTGTCATACAATTACGGAGGCTGAGAAGTCACAAAATCTTCAGTTGGCAAGCTGGAGACGCAGGAGACTTCATGATTTAGTTCCAGTCCAAAAGCTGGCAAGCTAGAAGCTCAAATAAATGATGTTTCAGTTCAAGTCTGAAGGCCAGAAACACCAGTATCTCAGCTCAAAGCAGTCAGGCAGGAGGCATTCCCCCTTCCTCAGAAGAGGGTCAGCCTTTTTGTTCTATTCAGGCTTTCAACTGATTGGATGAGAACCTCCTATGTTAGGGAGAGCCATCGGCTACTTAATTCAAATATTAATCTTAAACACCCCTACAGTCACACTCAGAATAATGTTTTACCAAATATCTGGACAGCCCATAGCCTACTCAAGTTGACACATAAAATTAAACACTATATTTGGTGAGAGCCCAGTGTTCTCAGATGAGGAAAAAGATTTCACATTATGAAGCTCTTATTGTGTGCTGGGCACTAGATCGGATGCTTTACTTACAGCTTAGTCTTTGGTGAGATAGGAAATACTATTTCCAACTTACTGATCATGAATATAGGCTCAGAGAGGCTAAATAATGTGCCTAAGGTAACTCAGCTAGTTAGGTGAGAGACTGGGAACTCAAGGCTAGGCTTCTTTGATCCTAGATCCCGTGCTTCCACATTCCCCCTCACATTCCAACCCTTTTAATTTTCCTTCTGGGTACAATGACGGATGCCAAGCTTGTTTTTGCATCAGTCATTGTACCAGTTGTGCTCTCTGCCCAGAGTGCCCTGCTCCCTGATCTACACAAGCCTGAAATCTTTAAATCATGCAAGTCATTAAATGTCACCTCCTCTGAGAGATTTTGCAGAAGTCATTCCCTATTTCATTACCTTGTCTGCATAGTATGTAATACTTTCTATTAAATGTATTTATTTTCTGTTCATTTATTTCGGCTCCAAAAGGGTATAGAACTTTGTCTTATTCCCAAATTATATACTCAATACATAGGGCACAAATATATTCTAAATTATCTGCTGAAGGAATAAATGAATCAATGGTGGGGCAACAACCTCAAAGCTCCAGGATCTCAATTTGACCAATAATGCCTGAAAGATAGATCCAAAAACATGTATTCTTAATCTTGTGTTCCACCTAATTTTTACCAAAGAGGGAACATTGAGGACAAATCAGTTTTTACTTTTTTTTTTTTTAAGCTAGAATTGCTTTGTTTTCCAGGGTTTTGTTCTTTATTAACTTTTTTGATTTTTTCATTCTGATTTAACACCTTTGGAGAGCTCATACTAGCCCCCTAAAAG